TATCCTTCATAAAGAAACACGAAGGGTGAAACTCAAAAAAGACATTATTTTCTTTAGCAAAACGCTGAACAGATAATAACGAAGAAGATAAACCAGGAACATGCAAGACATCAGACATACGAAATGACCTAGAATCAGTGGCTAACGAAGTAGAACCAATAGTAACAATAGGAAAACCTGTACCATTGCCAACCCGAAGTGTCTCCGGACCATCATACGTAGTAGAGGACGTCAATAAGGTGGGATCAGGAGTGGCATGATTTGTGGCCCCAGTGTCGGGAAACCACTAATGAGAGTCATCCATAGAACCTTCAACACCAGAAACGGCGACATTCGCCTGAGGATCCGATCTGGAGTGAAACGATGCCAACATGTCGTAGCTATATGCCCTTGCTTGTTGCAAATTTGACACCGAGGGCCCGAGTTGGACTGCCCCCGGCCACGGCAACCGCGCCCTTTGCCGCGGCCGCCACCTCCTCGGTTTTGCGGACTGCCACCGCGACCACTGTTTCCTCCACGGCTCACAGCCAAGGCTGTCGGTGCACCGAGAGCCGCGACGTCATCCGAACAGATCCACTCCTGCGAAACAAGAAAATCCGCAACCTCCGGGAGAGGAACGAGAGCACCGCGAGCTAGGGTTGCCACCAATGGTCGGAACTCCGGGCGTAAACCGCGAAACACGTATAAGTTCTGATCATCCAACTCAACATGACGACCAGCGAGAGCCAATTCATCAATCAACATCTGGGCACGACCAAGGTAATCAGATATGGAGGAATCACCTTGACGGAGCCCCTGAAGTTCGCCGAGAAGCCGAAGTGCATGAGAGCGGGTAGACGAACCTAGGGTTTGTTCGATTACTTGCCAAAGCTGCCGCGAGGTGCCCTTGCCGACGGCGAAGCGAAGAGTCTCCACGGATAAAGAGGAGATGAGCATGGAGAGGATGACTTTGTCTTATCGGCGCCACGCGAGCTGCCATGTCGGGAGATCGGAAACCACCGCCGGGGCGCTGTCCGGTGATGCCGTCGGAAAGGGTGTAGAACCATCAATAAACCCTAGAAGCCCTTGGCCTTCAAGAAACGGAAGCATCTGAGTCCGCTAGAATAGATAATTCCGGGAGGTCAACTTTAACGAAACAAAGTGATGAGCTGATGAGAGGCTACCACTCGCAGGCATCGTAGGAATCTCGGTAATAGTTTGTTCAGAGGAACCAAGAACAGAGCCGTCATTAACACCGATATTTTCCATGGAAAAACCTAGCTGATACCATATGAGAATATATTTTCTGTATTCAATGATAATGTCTGAGAGTACAGGGAGCGAATATATAGAGATGCTAGATAGAATCCTAGTCTAATACGAATAATATAGTCCTAGTCTAATATGGATAATAGAGTCCTAATATAAACTACTCAAAGATGTGCTAATGTAATTGGTAAAATAAGTACTAGTTGTATTAAATGTTAAGAGGTCAAATCCATTAGTTTTGAGTGTTTTAATTTTTGTCTTGTCCCAACTTAAATTTTTTTTTACTCTGCCCTTTAACTCGTTCTCCCATCTTGAAGGAGTTATGTGCTTGACACCATTTTTCCCCCCCTCTCCTTCTTTCCTTGTTAGCAACCAAACCCTAGGAGAAAAAAATTCAATTGTTGGTCTTGCTCTTAACCATTAGTAATTAAAGTATAATTATCATTTATCATTGAAAAATGTGTTAAATTGGACATCTATGTCCAATAAAAAAATGCAAATGGGTCTCCTAACGAAAGAAAAATCATTTAAAATATCTTAACTTGACAAATTTATGGATGTCAACATGGCAAGACCAAGAGTAAACTCCTGTCCCACTCCCCATCCCCACCAAGAATAAAAATTTTCTCTCATCCACGTACATCCCCCCAGGGTGAATTTTAATTAGGGATAAAGAATCTCGCCCCCCCAGTCAACCACATATTCAAACTAGTAGTTTAATTTAGTAAAACTTTTAATATTTAATTAAAAAATTCAAATATTAAATTATCATTCTAAACTACCAAATTCAAATATTAGTGTAAGTACTTATGTCCATTTTTCAATTCTTCATGATTTCATTAACACAACACACGCACGGGCGCACACACACACACACACACACATATAGAGAGAGAAGAGGGTTCGAGTGAGAACACCTCATCTGTAAAAAGTGTGGACATATCATTAATTCTCTCTGGATACAGAATGTCACCACTGTGGGAAGAATAATGTCACTGGAGTTCTTCCTTCTGTGCGTCAAATAAGCCAGGTTGCTAGGCTAAGAGGAAGAAGAAAGAAATATAATGAAAAGACACATTTTCCCCCTAAACTAATGGCCAAGAAACGGATTGTTAACAGAAGGATCTTTGGTGGAACAAATTAGAAAGTCAAGTGTCTTTTTCATCCAAATTAAAAGTCGAAGACCAATTTTAAAAAATCGCAATAGTCAAAGTACCATTGCTGGAATTAACTCTTTTGCATAAGTTCAAAACTTAAGGTGCGTATGTTTAAAGCTTAAGGTGCGTCGCATTTTAGTTTAAGGTATATCAGTTTAAAACTTAAGCACCAGGTTTAGGTGCGTAGTTTTATAGCTTAAGGTGCGTCACTTTCTAGCAAGGTTGCAAAAAATGTTAGGTGCCAAGGGGGCGCCTAGCGCCTAGGGCTCCTAGGCGCCAATTTTTTTTTTTTTAAATTTTAAAATTAAAAATTATGAAATTCACTAATAAAACATAAGGTTCATCTATTTTTTTCTTACAAATTATTTACGTAAGTGGTTGTAAAATCGTTTTCAATATTGTTGAAACCATCTAAATACATAAAAAAAAAAATTAAAATTAAGAGCAAAAGAAGCATTTTTTGGAGAAATTAAGGGCCAAACCACCTTTGCGGTGGATAGATCTCGAAAAAATACGCGATTTGAAAAAAAAATGTCCAAAACGGACAACCGAGTCAAAAGTTATGCCTTCCCGAACTTTTAACACTTTACAACGCAAAAAAAAAAAAATTAAATTAAATCGCTGAACCAGCCGGCTAGGCGGCCGATTCCGGCCTTCCTCGTGGCGGTCGGCAGCCGCCTAGCGCCTAGGCGCGATTTTTGCAACCAAGCTTTCTAGTTTAAGGTGTACCAGTTTAAGGTTTAGGTGCGTAGTTTTATAGCTTAAGGTGTGTCACTTTCTAGTTTAAGGTTTAGGTGCATAGTTTTATAGCTTAAGGTGCATATGTTTAAACCTTAAGGTACGTCACTTTCTAGTTTAAGGTGCATCAGTTTAAAACTTAAGAAGCTTAAGGTGCACGCCGTGTGTCTGTGCGATCTACAAATCTGACACCGGGGAACTCCACCGCGGCCTCTTCCCTGTCCGCCACGGCCACGGTCGTTCCGTCCTCGACCCTGACCGTAACCAGACTTGCGATTGCCACCGCCACCGTCGTTGTTTTGTCTGTGACCGCATCCAGCCACCATCGCCGCATGGGAGCCACCAGCCGTGACACTGCCGGTTGACGTACATTCATCTGCCCATATAAACTCCTGGGCTTGCAGAAAATCAGAAAGTTTAGGAATTGACACCGGTGTACCTGATGCCGCTAGCGAAGACGCCAAGGAACGAAATTCCGGTTAGAGGCCGCGGAACAGGTACAAGTTCTGCTCATTCAAGGATACGGGGTGGCCGGCTAACGCAAGATCCATCACCAGGAGTTGTGCCCGTCTGAGATACTCACCGGGTGTACAGTTAGAGCTGTCAATATGGGCCAGCCCGTCACAGATTGGAAAAATACGGGACGGGACGGGCCGACCCATTTTCCATACGGGTTGGGAAAATCCCAACCCAGCCCGTTGGTTACAGGCTAAACGGGCCAGCCCGTACTACTTTTTTTGGTTTTTTTTTTTTGTTTTTTTTTTTTGTTTTTTTCAAAAAAAAAAAAACAAAATTCATTTATTTTAAACTAGTTATTTAATTGTTAATTTGTTATAACTTATAATAAATAAATTATAATTGAACTCTAGAAATCTAGAATGACATACTTCCTAATTTCAACACAACATTCATGATTCTACATTCAAATCTTACAAGTTTTCAACACAATTTTAATGAAACATTTAAAGTGTTCAAGTTTCGCACTATCGCAAGACACACATAACCAAAAGTTCAAAATAGTCAAACATTCAAACATAATTTAAATTCAAAAGTCCATAAATGATAAATCCATTAGAAGCCTTCCCAATAACATCATCATAACTGTAAAAAAAAAAAAAAGAATAAATTAGTAAAACAATAAATCAATAAATGAATATACAAATCTTAAAAAATTAAACTCTAAAGCCTAAACTCCTAAAGTACCTTCATCCACCAAGAACATTAGAAGCTTTTTGCCCTTCTCAATTGATAATTAGTTCACTGATACTAGGATCTCCACCATCTACATAAATTTATAAAATAAATCATTAGAAATTTATAAGTATATATAATAAGTATTAACTATTAAATAACGATTAAATAATAATAATAATAATAATAATAATAATAATAATAATAATAATAATAATGCATTAATACTTCCAGAATTAAATCCTAGCAACCAATTGCGAGTACAAATGAGCGCTTGAACATTTTCCGAGTCGAGGGAACATCTATACTTCGTCAAGACTCTTGAGCCAATGCTAAAAGCACTTTCACTAGCAACTGTAGTGATTGGAATGCTCAATATATCACAAGTCATTTTGGATAGACATGGAAATCTAGCTTGATGCTCTTTCCAATATTGTAGAACATCCATTTTCATGTTAGACTTAGGATCTAGCCTCCTCTCTTCTAGATATGTATCTAGCTCAGATTTTTTGATAACAACACTATTTTCACTAGAAAAATTAGTAAACTCCTACACAAATAACACAATTGCACAAATCACAATTAATTAATTAAAACTTGAAAGCATATTAAATAGGATTTGAAATAAATTTATTAAGTTTAAACACTTACTCCAAAATAATTGATTTATGGTGCATGAGAAGAATCTACTTGAACTTGTGAAGAAGAAGAAGTTGAAGTTGAAGTTGAAACCAAACTTATCTCATTATCATATTGCTTAAATAACTGATGCATCTTTCTCTTAACAACATTCACCTTGTTTTCCCAACCAATAGAATCAGACTTTTCATAACAAAAATTGATCAAATCAAACTTCAACCTAGGATCAAGAACAACAACAATAGAAAGAATAACACTGTAATCACTCCAATATTTTTCAAACTTCACTTTCATTCTTAATGTCATATCTTTAAGTATCAAATCATCACAATCTTCATGTATCTTCAACAAACGCTCTATTTTCCAAATTTGCATAAAATACAAATTGGAAGTAGGATAACAAGACCCAAAAAATAAATTAGTGATGATGTAAAATGGAGCCAAGAAATCCCGAATCAATTCCCCTCTCTTCCATTTCTCACTCGAAGGACAACTGATGAAATTCTTGTCACGTAATACTAAACTCCCAAAAGCTCGTTGATACTTCATCACACTGTCTAGCATGACATAAATTGAATTCCATCTAGTGGGGACATCTAACTTCAAGCCCACACTATCATCAATTCCTCCTACTTGCTCCACACACTTAGCAAACAATATTCTTCTTGCTTCAGATTGTTTCACATATTTGATACTTTCCCTACTCTTTTGAATGCTAGTACTTGCAGCTTTCAACCCTTCTTGAACAATTAAATTCAAGATATGTGCAGAACAACGAATATAAAAAACTCACCATCACACAACAAACTATTCTGCAAACACAAATGTTCTTTTAAAATATTTTGCATGCTATCATTTGCAGAAGCATTGTCCAAAGTCAAAGAAAATATTTTCTTATCAATTCCCCACTCTTTCCAAGAATCAAAAACTACCCCGGCTAACTATATACCAGTGTGTGGAGGCTCTATTTTGCAAAAAGCAAGAATCTTGCTATTTAACTTCCAATTCCTATCCACAAAGTGAGCAGTAATACAAATATAGCCTTCAACTGTATATGCAGTCCAACAATCAGAAGTTAAACAAATTCTGCTAGGAGACCTACTCAATTGTTGTTTTAACTCCATTTTCTTATCAAGATAAACATTCCCTACATCATTCACTGCAGTATTTCTTGTATACTCATTCACATCCGGATTACAAATTAAAAGCATCTCTCTAACTCTTCTATATTCCACAAAAGAATATGGAAGGTTATGTTCAATAATAGCCATTGCCATAGTCTCCCGTAAAAGTTTGTGATGAAGTTGCCTAGATCTCAACTTTCCTTGTGCATCTAATATCATTGTCCCAATATTATGATACTTAGGAAGAGCAACACATTTAGGAATATGACATAACAGTAGATGTTCCATACTTAATGCCACCAATAGTATATTCCTTTCCACAACCATTACAGTTAGCCTTTTCTTTACCATCAACTATTTCAGGAATTTTAATAAATGACTTCTAAACATCAGAAGTAATGGATTTAGCTTTTTTACGCTTAGACTCTTCAAAATTAGGTTGTTCAGTTTCTTGGATAGGAGATGTAGGTTGTTGAGAACTAGGCATCTTGGGGTCTAAATCAAATTCATCATTATTACCAACAGCACTACCAATACAATTCACACTACGAGAAGTCATTTTGCTCAAAAGATTCACATTTTAATTACAAACATTATTATACTGACAAGGTAGTCTATTAAGGCCTATTAAGTATTAACAACACATCAACAATAAAGATTAAATAGCATTTAGTTTTAGCAAGTCAACATACAACAACAAAAACTCAACAATAATACATTTAATCAACTCAACAATAACAATCTAGAATAACAATCTAAATATTAACATAAAGAATAAAAATACATTTAAAGTTTTAAACTATTGAACAATAACAATTAAATAAAATATTAATTAATAAAAAAATACCTGGTACTAGTAGCAAACTAGTAGTCTACGCGTTAAGCACTAAGTAGAGTAGCAGATGGAGTTAGCACTGTAGTCTGTAACAGCGGTCCACTGGAGGAGGCGAGGAGCGGTGGTCCACTGGTCCAGCCGTCCAGGCCGCGGCTCGCGAGGAGCGGTGGCGTCGTCCGTCGTCCAGCGTCTTCCGTCGGCCGAGGTGCTGACTGCGAGGACTGGTAGAGGCGAGGTCGGTGAGGAGCGGTGGTCAGTGGTCTCTGTCTCTCTAAGGAGCGGCGAGGATTTTAGGGTTAACCGGTCAAGAGATATATTTTGAAAGCTATTCCGATTTTCCCCTATTGTTATTCGGAGTAGTATTCGCGATTGCATTTTTTTTTAAGTCCATGGGCCGGGTTACCCGTGTAAGCCACGGGTTCAACCCGTTTAACCTGTGCCCAGCACGGGTTAAACGGGACGGGTTGGGATTTCTCCCACCCAACCCGTCTAAAATATGGGTAAACGGGCCCAACTCGACGGGTTGGGCCCGTTTTGACAGCTCTAGGTGTACTGTTGCCTTGTCGGAGAGATTGCAATTGGGCGAGGAGGTTCAAGTATCTCGCACGCGTCGACGACCCCAGTGCCGCCGTGATGGAAGTCCATACATCCCGCAAGGTGACACGACCGACGACGACCTCGTCGGACAAGGAGGAGATGAGAAGGGAAATGATCGATTGATCCTATTGAACCCAATGGGCATGCGCCGGATTCGGTGTAGTTTTGGACGTAGTGCCGTTGGAGACGGCATTACTAGTGGCTGGAGTGGTGAAGACCGTCGGAGGACACTGGGTTTCACTGTCGACGTAGCCTAATAATCCCTGACCACGGAGAAAGGGTATCAACTGGGTACGCCAAAAAAGAAAATTTTTCGTGGTGAGTTTAATGGACACGATGTGGTGTGCCGTTGAGAGGGAGTTTGGGGTGGCCGGAGGCGGCACGGTGGCGGCGGTCAGTATCCGTTCACTGGAATTGGTCGACATTTTTTGGAGGAGAGAGAGAAAGGATTACCTAAGGCTAACTGATACCAGATGAGAGAATATTTTCAGTAAATCAAAATCATCGATGGATAATACAGAGATACAAGAGGCATAGAAGACTTGCCTAACTAATCCTATACAATAGGCTAGTAGTTTAAGACTAAATCAACTCTAACTATACATAGGTAATGTGACAATAAAATGTATCAAATATAATATTACTAACATTGATCAACGGCTCAGATCTCAACCTATCTTTCACTTGGGAGACTCTTCGCACATGAACTGATCCACACACACACACACACACACACACACACACACACACACACACACATATATATATATATATATATATATATATATATATATATACATACTATACTAATAAGACCCCAAGAGAGTTAAGCCTATAATGGGTATAAAAAATGGTGGTCAAATTTTTTAATCAAATGAATGACTCAGATTGATCAGATTTTAATTTTTCCTTAAAGATTTCCTAATTTATCCTTAATGAATATGGTTATCAGTTAACTTTTCCGTTAACTATTATCTTTTCCGTTAATTTCTGTTAGTTCACCGTTAACTTACTCATTGATTTTAATAAGAAAGGCCTTGGGTTTGAACCCCATCACAATCAAAGTTGGCATAATTAGTACTCTATTTTACTCTTATTAAATTAAAATAATAATTTTGTATCTACAACAAAAAATAATACACATGCATTTCTTTAATTTAGAATTATGTGTCTACAATGTCTTTATTAAAAAAATTATTCATTATCAATAAATTAAATAAGAGAAATAATTTCATTAGTTATATTGTATTTATTTTTCTCCAATATAAAAATTCTTTACATTCAAATTCATCAATTGATTATATTCGCTACATTGTTCCTACAATGTCTTTATTAAAAAAATTATTCATTATCAATAAATTAAATAAGAGAAATAATTTCATTAGTTATATTGTATTTATTTTTCTCCAATATAAAAATTCTTTACATTCAAATTCATCAATTGATTATATTCGCTACATTGTTCCTACAATGTCTTTATTAAAAAAATTATTCATTATCAATAAATTAATTAAGAGAAATAATTTTATTAGTTATATTGTCTTTATATTTCTCCAATGTAAAAATTCTTTATATTCAAATCCATCAGTTGATTATAATCAGTAGTAGTAGTAGTAATAATAATAATTGTTTTTAAAAAATAAAAAGATATAATTAAGCCAATCATATTAACTACTTGGGGGATTTATTGACAAAAAGAGTGTTCAAATAACACAACAAATTGATGTGGGAAACTATCTCGCAATGTCCTTGTTTGGCAATCAGCAGTTAGCTCTTCAATATTAGTATATATTTAATATTTTATGCCCTAATTTTTATTTGTTCTCCCTTATCAGTACAAGAAATCTTTCATTTCCCGACAAAAATTTTAACAACGCTCTAGAAAACGTCGCTAAATATAATAATTTGGGACGTTATATTAAATAACGTCACTATATATTTTGGTAGAGACAATAAAATTTTTTTTGGTAATATTTAGTGACGAAATATAATTTTTTTGTCAGTAAAGATATAGAATTAACAACGTTTTATAATAAACGTCTCTAAATGTTTTATTTTAAAAATCAATTTTAACATAAAACGTCGGGAAAAGTGAAAATATTTTTGCGGGAAAACTATTTACCAATTGGCGCCATTAAAACACACTCTCTTCAGCAATAAAAAAAAATCTAAAATATATCTTCCTAAATAAGCAGTACAATAGGTTAATAGCATAGTAGCAAAGCAGCAGTACTTCACTTCTCACTACAAACCAGAGCAACAGTATTCCTCTTCTTCAACGATTAAATCACATAGCAGTAATCGGTAGTACCGTCGTCGGCACCGCTCCGGGCACCACCGCAGGACCGTCGTCAACACTGCACCTTCGTCGGCAGTCTGTGTCTCTGGTTTTCCCCTCATCTCCCTACACTTCAATAGAATTTTCTCTACTTCTAATCTTACTATTTCATCATATATAATACCTAACCTTCATCTCTACAAAACCCAGTGGAAGTCTTCTAAAGAATCGGACCCAAGCTTACAAGAGAAGATTCATGTTAAGGTAAATTCAAACCGTAATCAACTAATCTCCACCAAAGCATTCATGTATAAACTCTATTTTTGGTATTATTTGGGTGATTTTCTGCTCTCATTAGTTAGAATATGATAGCTTTTTCTCTGGTTTTATTTTTTTTTTATTATTATTTTTTACTTTGTTGTGATTTGTTTTTTATTATGTATATTTAAATTTATTATGAATTATTCATACCTAAGTAAGGGGTTTAGTAATAAACATATTAATATAGGGTATTAATGAATCTTGTAGTTTTGGCTACATGATGTAGCAGATTTGGTGTGGGATTTGGGTATTTATAGGTGGTTTTGAGGTGAGGCTAGACATTGATTTTGATGTGAGTTTAGGGGATGATGTTGCAAGGATTAGCTGCTGTAGATTTGGGTGGTTGTAGCATACAACTAGCTGCATCTGCAGATATGCAGCCAGCTTGAGTGTGGATTGGTTGTTGGTTTTGATTGGTGATGGATATTGAGGTGTTTTGTTTGAGGTGGATGTTGGGTTTAGATGATGGTTTCAGTTTATTAAGCTAAGGGGGAATGAGGCCTCTAATTTAATGAAGAGAGAGAAAACTACTCAAGTGGTCCACAGAGGCATTAAATGTCTGTCTCTTCACTTGCCTCACCTGTCTTGCTTTCGTCATAGATAATGTCGCTCTCAGGATATTCTTGGAGGAACTTCATATAGTCTTTGTCGATGTCGGGATTAGCAAGGTCCTCCTCTAATAGGAAGACTGCATTTTTGGAAGTTTTGACCTTTGGAGAGTTTTTGATGGTAAATCCATCGTGTGAGGGATTTTCATCTTCATCAGATGAAACATCCACCGACCTTTGGACTTTATTTCCCGGATGTTTGTTTCCTTGTTCCTTCCTGATCTTCTTTCGTTTTTATATATGTTCTTTGACAACATTCCTAGTGAAGTACTTTCTTGATGGCATTGAGCTATTCTTCTTTTTGTTGTCCATTTCTTTTTGTTGCGAAGAGGTGTGAGATAACATGAGACATTAGTTCTCCTTATATAGCCATTTGAAGAGATCATGGGTGTTGGAATTTAGTGACCATAAATGACCCTTCAATGCTTTGGTCAGTTATCATTACATGAAGGCTATACTATATTTCATCACTAAATTCATTGGATTTTTAACTTCTTGTGAAGGCGTGAGTTTCAATGGCCACATGTCACTTGATAATTGGACCAGATATAGTTGATATGACACCGATGATGCTCTTAATATAATAATTAAGAAATCTCTGATTCGTTCTTCATAAGATGAAATGGAAGAAAGTTGTTGGACGAATCATACCAAGATGATTCATTTATGTAAGAGAGATAACCAAGGAGTGATACAACTGACATTTTCAAAGGTCATAACAAGTTATTCTCTCTTTTTCTTTCTTGTGACAGTTGACTTTAGAGATGGAGTGAGTATTGATGGAGTGCCCAGAGGAGAGTATTCAAAACTCTCTAGTTCGTCCGCCTGTACTCCTCTCCTTGGATTATACATTTCGTTGTACTCATCCAGCTTCGCAGTAGTTAGAGTAGGTGCGTTTGATGCATAGCCGAGACTTTGTGGATAGGCATAAGAAACTTCTTCCACGGGCGGTGGGGCCTCTCGTTCATCAAGACGAGGTGGAAATGGTGTTCTTTCATCATTACTTGAAGAAATAACGATAACGTTTTGCGAACTGTCTTGGCTGATATGGCTAGCTTCAACTCCTCTTAGCCTGGCACAACGCTCCTTCATTTCAAGCCATGCCATCATTCTGGCTTTCTTATGCATTTTGGCATAGTCATCAATGGTTTTGACCATCTTTCCCTTTCCTTTGTCGTTCTTCATCGTTTTCCTGTAAACAAAAACTAGGGCAAAAGACTAAAGAGATTGATTAGAGTGGTTTGTACTGTGTAGGAATGCCCCTTTTTGTAGTAGTAATCCGAATCTTCTAGATATGTTGGGATGAGCGAGAGATATTTGTTTTCTCTTCCCAATGCTTCATTTTCGAATCTTTTAATTAAGAGAATAATGGCAGTAGGCGTGCCAAAAAGAAGATTCTTTGATTAGGTCATTTCGATCATACCCAACTCATGCCGAAGAGAGGAAAACCTTCCTTCGCTGTGTGGTTTCGTGAGTATATCTGCAAGCTGTTCAACAGTATTGATATATTCGAGAGATGTCTTTTTTTCAACATGATCTCGAATAAAACGATATTTTATATCAATGTGCTTTGTTCGATAGTGTAACACTGGATTATGAGTTATGGTAATTGCACACGTGTTATCACAGTTTATGCACACTTCTTGTGCCACAACTCCATAATCTTTCAATTGTTGCATCATCCATAGGATTTGTGCACAACAACTTCCTGTAGCAATGTATTCAGCTTCAGCAGTACTCGTGGCTATAGAGTTTTGTTTCTTGCTAAACCAAGATACGAGTATTCCCCCTAAGAACTGACATGTTCTAGAGGTACTCTTTTGGTCTATTTTACACCCTACGAAGTCCACATCTGAGTAACTGATAAACATTATTTTTATGATTATTTTAAATAATCTTTTTATAATTAATATGCAATTTTTAATTAATTAGGCATTTATTTTATTTATTTTAATAATTAGTTTTGTTTTGGGCTTTTAATATTTTTAATTGTTATTGAGTCAATTTTAGTTAATAAATTGTACTAGTCCAGGTCATTGTTGTTTTATTTAACCAGCCAAGCATTAGGCCCAATACCTCTAAGCCCATGTATGAATTCTCCATTCTCTGCAATAGTTGACGGACGAGAGAAGGCGTAGGCACAGAGTTAATCAGCGAAGAACATGAATCAGGGCTCCGAACGGTGTGGATCACGAAGTCTTAGCGAGACCGACTTCTCCGGATCACCGATTGAATAGCAGGCGTTGGGAGAAATAGTCTTCAAATGGCGTTCCGCGGCTCTCGTTCCTCTGCGAAATTGACGCCACGGGCTGAAAATCTTAGCGGAGGAGTTGTATAAATTGAGTTCATTCCAAGGTCATATTTCATCATCAATTCACCCCGGAGATTTCCGGTGGTTCGTCGGCAGCTTTCGGACAGCGGTGACAGTTTCACGGTTATGGCAAGACTTCTTGGTGTGCAGCAATTTAATTTTTGGGCATTGATTCATTTTACGGTCGGCAGCTTTCTGGTCCTTTTTCTTCTTTAATTTATATGCACTTTGCTTAATTTTTAATTCCTCAATTTCAATTCCATTTTGGGCTTTGTAAAAGTAGTGCTACTGTGAAGCTTAATTGCAAACTTCATTATAGAGCTTGCTCACATGTTTAATACTTAAGTATAATGTTTAGTACTGAGTGTCTACATTAATTGCATTGTTGAGTTATAGTGCTTAGTTGCTAAGGTTGATTGTTTAATTTTGAAGAGTTTAAGCATCTGGTTTTAATTCTGAGTTAGTGTTGATTTTACCATGGTTTGTTAATTTCTTTGAGCAATTTTAATTCTTCAAATTCTAGTTGTAAGCTCTATTATATTTAAATTCTCCTGTTAATCATTGATTTTCCTTTTCTTTAAACATCGCTTCAATTTAAACATTGTGTTATTGAATTCTCATTCCCTTTTTAACATTATTTTCTTGATGTCATTCTTTTTGAGAAAATATGGTTTCTTACTGCTTCCTGGTAATTTATTTGCTTAGTTTTATTTGAGTTCTGGTTTAAATATTCTGCATTCGAATTGATCTTTATCTTTGACATTTATTCAGCACGTTAAATTGTTTTTAAGATTATAAATTGCATTGTACCAATTCCCTGTGGGATCGACCCTTGCTACTACACACTATCACTATAACTGACTCATGCAATTGCGATGACACATAATTAAAATTGTCCATCAGTAACCAATTAGGTCGAAAGATCTTCCTTTCGGGTACCAAAGTCCAACACTTTGAGTCCCCTTGAGGTATCTTAAGATCTTTTTAGCTGCAATTAAGTGGCTTTCTTTTGGTTTAGATTGAAAGCGAGCACATACACCAACAACGAAAGATATGTCAGGTCTACCTGCTGTTAGATATAGTAATGAACCGATAATCCCTCGATATTTCGTTTGATCAACATCTTTCCCTTCATTATCAATTTCCATATGTAATGAAGTGTTCATAGGGATTTTGACTGATGATTTCTCATCAACACCAAACTTTTTGATCAAATCTTTTGTATATTTAGCTTGGTTGATGAAGATTCCATCAGGACATTGCTTTACTTGTAATCCAAGAAAATAGTTCAATTCTCCATGCTCATCTCGAATTTGCCTTGCATGAGTTTGTAAATTCGCATAAGTCAAGATTCGTGCAATCAAATATAATATCATCCATGTATATTTGCACGAGCAATATGTGATCTCCATCTTTAATATGAAGGAGTGTTTTATAACATACTCCTTTCGTGAATCCACAATTGATAAGAAAGTATGAGAGTGTGTCATACCAAGCTCTTGGGGCTTGCTTTAAGCCATATAGGGCTTTCTTTAAATGATATACTTTATCACTTTCGTGATCAGAAAGAAATCCAGGAGGTTGTTCTACGTAAACTTCTTCTTCGAGAGTCCATTTAGAAATGCACTTTTAACATCCATTTGAAGACCTTGAAGTCTTTGTAGGCAGCATAAGCTAGAAAGATACGTATTGCCTCTAATCTTGCAATTGGAGCAAAGGTTTCATCAAAATCAATGCCTTCCTCTTAGCAATAACCCTTGGCTACCAATCGGGCTTTGTTCCTAACAATAATTCCATCTTCACTCATTTTATTTCTAAATACCCATTTAGTTCCAATAACATTTTGGTGAGAGGGTCTAGGAACCAATTCCCATACTTTATTTCTTTCGAACTAATGCAGTTCTTCTTGCATGGCTATAACCTAGACTGGATCACTTAGTGCATCTTCTATAGTTTTAGGTTCGAGTTGAGATAAGAAGCATGCCATCATACTTTCATGAACTGAAGCTCGAGTTCTCACTCCTTCTCATACATCTCTAATAATTTGTTCAGGAGGATGATTTCTCAGCCATCCCAAGTCAGGTTCAAAAGATGTTGGTGGTGCATGTTCATCTACTTGAGAAATATAGGGCAGTTCTACGTAGATCATTGATTCTGGTTGAACTTGTGGTATATGCTCTTCGGGAGCAATCATCTCAGCAGTAGGCTCGGGTTGAGATTGTGCATTTTGATCGACAGACTTAGGTTGATACCTTTGATAAGATATCAAGAAATCTTCTTGATCTGATTCTTCTTCGATGGTGTTGCTTAGTTCAGCCTGTACGCTTAAGTTTCTCACAACATTTGTGACCTTGTTGATTGATCCCTTTCCCATTTGTTTGTCAAACTTGACATGAATGGATTCCTCTATCACCATGGTTCTTTTATTAAGAATTCTAAAGGATTTGCTTACTAATGAATATCCCATGAACATACATTCATCCGCTCTTTTGTCAAAAGCTTTCAGATGACTCTTCCCATTGTTATGGACGAAACACTTGCATCCAAAGATATAAAAATAACTAATTACAGGTTTCTTACCTTTCCATAGCTCGTAGGGAGTGAGTCCATGAGCTTTATTGATGAGGGATCGATTCTGGGTATAGCATGTTGTGTTGATCGCCTCAGCCCAAAATCGTTTTGGCAATCTTGAGTGAGCTATCATGGTTCGGGCTGCTTCTTTTAGAGTTCTGTTTCTCATTTCAGCAACACAATTTTGTTGAGGGGTTTTGGCTGCCTAGAGTTTATGGAATATGCCATTCTGTCCACAGAAATCTGAGATGACTTTGTTCACGAACTCAGTGCCCTGATCTGATTCTTATGATACTGACTGCTTTCGCATTTTGAAGTTGTCTTAGTAAATCTGGTAACATCTTCTCAGTTTCGTTCTTCCTTTCAAAAAGACTGTCCATGTGTATCTGGTGAAGTCATCTACCACAACAAGTGTGTATTTTCGTGCACTTAAACTTGGTGGATCAACTGGGCCAAATAAGTCCATATGTAAGAGACTTAGAGGTCAAGAGTTTGTGTCTATGGATTTTGACTTGAAAGAAAATTTAATCTGCTGGCCCTTCTAACACGCATCACATATTTTGTCCTTGATGTATGATACTTTCGGTAAGCCTTCTACCAGATTTCCTTTTGCTAACTTCCTGATTGTCTTGAGATTTAAGTGATTCAACTTGCTATACCACTCCCAACTTAAATCAGCATTACTCTTGGCCATGAGACACACGTTTGCCTTAGAAAGCTTCCAAGATACAACATACATATTTTTCTTTCGACTAGTAGATAGTATGATATCTCCATTCTCTGTGCTGATCACATTGCATTTGTCTTTTGAAAATTCAACTTTATATCCCTTGTCACAAAATTGACTAGTGCTTAGAAAGTTAAACTTCAATCCTTCAACATAAGAGACTTCTCGAATGATTATTTCATTTTTGATGATGTCTCCTACTCCTTTCGTTTTTCCACCAGATTCCCCTCCAAATATTACTTTCGTGCCATCGACTTCTTTAAAATTGCTCAGATTTGATTTGTCTCCTGTCATATGTCTTGAGCAACCACTATCAATGTACCATATGACCCTGTTATCCTGAAATAAACAATTATGCAATCTTAGGTACCCCTTCGCTCTCGGGTCCTTGAGGGTTAGCTGATAGTTTTGGGATCCAGACGAACGTAGAGTTGGTATTACTCATCCTTGGTCCCCTGTATCCATTAAACGCGCGATATGTATAAGGGATTTTTGCAAAAGTTTTGACCTTGTATCGTCTTTGAAAATAGGTTTCGGGTGGATTGCGCTACACCTTAGAATAGTTAATCTGTTTGTGTCTATGAATCTTCTCGAATTTTGCTTTCGACAAAGGTTCGGGGAACACAAGCCAGTCTTCCTCAGAAGGTCCACTCCTTCCGTCGCCTTTCATTGGTTTTCTAAGTGACCTCTCAGGTTTAGCATACCCGTTTCGTTCATTTTTCTGGTTTCCATGTGAATAACCCCTGCGTTGATTCACCGAACGAACTTGCCTCTGCTTAGCATTAAGGTTTACCTTCAAACGGTTGTTTCTCGTAGGCTGACCCTTTTTGTAATGTAGACTCGGTCTATTTACTTTCGATCCATTCCTTTTGACATTATTGACATGTCTAGGATTGCCTTTCGATAAATTTCCATTTGTTGGTTCCACAACACATTGGACAGCCTTTCCTTTAGAATGGCTTGCAATTTGTGGTACCTTACCCTTGTCAATATGATTCATTGGCTCGGGCATCTGGGTTGGTCCTTGAACAAACATAGATTTTAAACCTCCACTAGAAGAAGAATCCATAGGTTTGTTCAGTAAGATATGTGATGAGGAGCTTGGGTTATAGCCAATTCCAGCTTTTTCCCTTGGTGGTCTTGATGCATTCACCATTCGATCTATCATCTTAGATGAATTAGTGAAAGATGCAATGACCTCTCGTAGATTTTGCTCCCGTAACTCTCTCTCTGTGCACTCCTCCTTAAGAAGATGAACTTTCTTTTCGAGTTGATCATTAGCGATGGCTAACTCGATGTTTTTAATTCTAACGCGTCTAAGCTCATCATAACTGATCATAAGTTGAGAGTTTTCTTCTTTCAACTTGGAGTATGTGTTTTTTACAACTTGAAAGTCTCTCATCAGTTTTACAACCGAATCCATGGAACTTTCTGTTGAAAACTAAATAGATAGGTTTATCTATAGGGTTGTGTCTGTTTATGAATAGGTGTAAGTTACGGGTAGTTATTTACAGTTATGTCTTTGTGTATATATATGTACTGTGTTTCTGTATTAGAAACAGAGAGAATATTAATATATTTTCATTCTTATACACATTTCCTATTCCTTGATTCTTCATATTACTTCCGCCTAACTGGCGGGTGGTGTTATTCTCCACCCGCCAGACCATCCATCTTCCAAATTCAACATGGTATCAGAGCCACTTTCCTAGGGCTTTTTCCTTACATTTTCCGGCGTAAACAGTAGCCTGAGACTGCCTCTTGAATTCCGACGTATCTATGGTGGTTTGCTTCAAAATCTACAACCACAGTCACTCTCGGAATCACGTCGCGACCTTACCCAAGAAACGCCGGTGTCATCCGCCGCTGCACGCGCCCACACGCGCCGTCACAGTTTGCCGGAGCACAAATTGTTTTCCTCAGATCTCTTCATCTCTGGTGGTTTTTTGGTCTCACCTCCCACACTGATGAATTCCTCTCCTTATTTCGACCCTATCTGGAAAATTTCATCGCCATCCGTCATCGCCGTCGTCATCACGCGCCACCGCCGGCGTCACGCGCCGGCGACCTTCTTTCACGCGCCGGCGCGTGAGCCCACCTCCGGCAGAATTTTCCGGCGAAAATCTCCATAAATCTCCGTCAGTTACCCGAGATTCCATCTGCGTTGGGCTTGCTGTGGTGTGTTTTTCCAGTAAAAGTGTTTCAGATTGTTGTTTTCCCCTTTGGACCTTTTGGTGAAGTTTGAAGGCTTATGGGTTTGTTGCCAAACTTCTTTCCGGGGTGCTTTTGGTATAACCGTAGTTATTTCTTTCGGTATACATATTTATTCCCTAGGGTTTTCAAGTTTGGTACCTTTTGTTTTTTTTCCGAAAGTCTCTTTTGTTATTCACTTATCCTATAATAAGGGGTATAAACAACAATCATATGTGGTGCTCTCGGTATTCATACTTCACACTCTTTGGGTGTATTTGTCATTACTTTGGTGCTCTTGTTGAGAGGCTGGAGTGTGGTGGGAAAGGGCTACCTGGAAGAGGGCTGCCCGCTGCTTGATAAGGTTCAAAGGAAACCGAGAAGAGTCCGGAGTGAAAGCTATCCAGAGTGAAGCCGTCCACCCATCCGGTGCCGGTCTAGCGGAGGGGGCGACCTAGAAAAGGGCTACCTGGTACTTGATAAGGTCTGGAGTGAAGCCATCCAAAGGGGAAAAGGGCTACCTAGTGCCGAGAAGAGTCTGGAGTGTGAGCCATCTAGAGTAAGCTACCGCGGACATCGGCTTCTCAAGGGAGTGCTTATGTTGCTGTGAGGGTGTTCGTGTTAATCGCCCCTGGTGCCTTCTTTCCCAAGGATTGTGTATATCATTGTCCCTCCGAAGCCATCTAGCACTGTTATTCTCTAGCTGCTTTTAATCTTCATTTGTAATGTAGTGTGTATGTTTTAATCCAAGCTTGGAACTTCTAGATGTTCCAGCTTGAGGGGGAGTGTTGAAAACTAAATAGATAGGTTTATCTATAGGGTTGTGTCTGTTTATGAATAGGTGTAAGTTACGGGTAGTTATTTACAGTTATGTCTTTGTGTATATATATGTACTGTGTTTCTGTATTAGAAACAGAGAGAATATTAATATATTTTCATTCTTATACACATTTCCTATTCCTTGATTCTTCATATTACTTCCGCCTAACTGGCGGGTGGTGTTATTCTCCACCCGCCAGACCATCCATCTTCCAAATTCAACACTTTCCTCACTACCAGAACTAGACTCTATTTGAGTAGATGAGGAGGATTGAGAATTTACCTCATCATCTTTGGCCATCAGGCACCAGCTGTTCTCGTCTTCTTCTCGACTAAATAGACACAGGAGTCCTTTTTCGCCCTTTGAGCTTTCACTATCCAAGCTAGAGTTTGACGTGCTTGTTTCGAGTTCAGCCACGTCACTTGTCTCATTCACAGCCATTGCTTTCCTTCTCCTGTCATGTTGTTGCTAATTGGACTCATATCTTGCTTTGTCTTTCCTTGATTCGACAGCATCGTTCCTTTCATTTGGAGAGCTTGTGCTGGGTTCCTGATCATGATATTTGCGGACCATGGGGTGAGGATAATTCACTTTGAAATGTCCTGGCTTTCGGCTATTATAACACAACACTTGTGCCTCCTCAGATTCCTATTTCTTCGAATGAGGTAATCTTTCTCCCTACCTTTGACTTGAGGGGCTTGAGAATGTTTGGAGTTCTTGGAAGTTGTTTTTCCTTATGAACCTTTTAAATTTCCTCACAAATAAAGCAAATTGTTCTTCATATAAAAAATCAGATGGATTAGAGTTCGACCTGCTAGATGTCGATGTTTGCTAGTTTGCTGCGAGAGCTATATTTCTAGTTTAGGGTTCTTCACTACTCTTGGGTTCGTACTTGAATTCGTAGGCTTTTAGACCACTGAAAATCTGTGAGCTCTGAACAGTCTTTAAGTCTCGATGATCTCTCATCGCTGTTACTTTCATATCCCACGACTTTGGTAGACCTCGAAGAATCTTGAGGATGATTTCCTTTCTGGTTGGCTCTTTGCCCAAATCAGATATTTCTCCCAAAAGTTTCGTGAAGCGAATATCCATCTGGCCGATTGTTTCATTAGGATTCATTTTGAAGTCCTCAAACCTCTTCATGGCCATTGTCAGCTTGTTCTCATTTTCTTGCTCATCACATTCACCAATCTCCATCAGAGTGTTCCAAATTTCCTTTGCCGTTGTGCATTTTCTCACTCTTGGAAATAAGGATTCGTCAAGAGACTTGTACAAGATGTCCCTAGCAACATTGTCTAGATTTGCCCTTGTTCTTTCTTCGGTAGTAAGTTGTGTCTTAGGTTTCGGGATCAGTAGATCAGGATCTGCTCCTTGTGCAGCTGCATTCGTGTTGACCATCTTGACTGTGATAAGTCCATCTGTGATAACATCCCACATTTCATCGTGAATTGCTGAAAGGTGAGCATGCATTCGAACCTTCCAGTCATCAAATTTAGCCAAGCTAAAAGCAAGAGGTCTAGATCTATGCCCATGTTCATTTTCCATTTTAGAAAAATTTGTGCAAAGATAAAATGAAATTTTAGGGTTTTTTTGAGATGTGATCTACCAAGCAGTAAATTCAAAGCGTTTACCGTTCAAGGTAACTGCTCTGATACCACTTGTTGGTCCCGATAGGGTCGAAAGAGAGTCTAGAGGGGAGGGGGGTGAATAGACTCTATTCCAATTTTTTTTGAAAACAACTCTCGGGGAGTAATGCCCAGTGGAAAGTATGTGAGTTCGTTTTAGAGTATTCTTCGCACTCTTTCGTTAAGAAAATTAGGGTTTGATCAATATGAATGCAATGCAACGCAGATAAATAACCAAAAGTAAATTAAAGAGAGAGTGAGAGAGAGATTTTTATAGTGGTTCAGCTATTAACGAAGTCTACTCTACTCTTCTTTCACAACTTTTGAAAGGGTTTGCACTATCACTCATAGTACAAACTAAACAAGCTAACTTCCTTAATCACTAAGCTGGACAGCTACTTGCGTAGGTTTCTCAACTCGTAGAGTTTACTCCGCCTATATCAATGTCTTCTTCAGAGTTGAGGGTTGGAAAGAAATAACGATATTCTCCAACTTGTGAAATCTTGTTTTGATGATGCTTGAATCTTCAAATATAAGGTGCAAGATTTCCTTGTGTTGTGAAGACTTGAAGTCTAGATGATCTGTTTGAAAAAGTTTCACAACTACACACACAAGTTTTGAAAGCTTTAGGATGATACTTGTTGAAAAGCTTTGCAGATAATAATCGAGTGATAAAAATCAGAACCTTCTTCAAATGGAGAAGAAGGGTATTTATAGGAAAGCAAAATCCATCCGTTGGAGGGAGATGGAGATTTAAACCTATTGACCAGCGTGTAATAACCACTGGGCTTGGAGCATTTAATGTGGCGTACTGTGTAGCCGTTGGCAACAAAAAGTTGTTTGTCTTTATCCAGTCACAAAAGTACCAATCATTTAATGCTCCTTGATTTTTGAAAATATCATTCCTAGGACTCATTTTGTCTAGGATGATTTGCCCAGCTATGAGACTTAGACAAATATACTTCTGTATTATCATGTAGAAGTTGTCTTTTCGAGTCGGACTTTGACTCTCAGTCTCGAGTCTGACTTTGACTATTCCTTATCATTTGACGTTTACACGAGACTTAGACCCTTCCATCTTTTGGTCTAAGTTGTTCTCTTGGGCTTCTCTTGATCTTCTTTTCTTCTTCAAAAGCATGACTCGTGTTTTCTTTCAGCTGAACACGAGTCCTTCTCTAAGTTACAAACCCATTTCGTTAAACAACGAAAGATAAATGAATCTCAAGAAAAAAAAAATGGGGGTCTAATTTCCTAAGGACTTGGTATCATCAAAATCTAATTACACTTGTTCCTAACAACCCTTTCAACTTATTTATTTACAGTGTCATGAAATTCTTCATGCTCCAATACCGTGTCGTTCGTCTTCCAGAGACAAGAGGTTTTGAAACCATAAACTCTTTAGAGTGTGTAATACATGATGTAGAGGTATTTTTTATTTTTTTTACTATAATCTTAATCATAATATTTTGTATTTCTAAAATTTTAGTTGATGCATATGGTTTTTTTACAATTTCACGGAACTTTTATACATATGCATATTCCTCGAATGTATGTTGAAAAGTCTCTCAACAATTTTTTTTTTAAAAGGCAAAGTTTATCGAATTCATAGATTTGTGGTGGTTTATAATGAGTATAGAAACAAAACTACTATTCACAGGTATATGCCGAAGTTTGTGACAGAACTACTGTGGGAACTTTGAAAGATGCAGATTTCCCAACACATGATTATGACAGAGAAGATTATGATTTCTCTGAAGACGTGGTCTATTGCTTACTTACATTGTTTTGCTTTTTAAATAACTTTATTGATGTATTTAAATTTTCCTAACTTTCACGTTCTCTCAATGGAGAGGTGCATGAACCCCCGATTGGAAATTTGGATTCTACCAAAGGAGGGGATTCAAATAATGAGGACTCTGTTTAGAGATGAATAATAAGGAATATGTCAACAATCTAATCTATTAAAATCATGCTTTTGTTATGTTATTGGTTATTGTTATTTGTCACTTCTTAATCTATTCTTAATTTATTCTTAATTTAATCAATTCTTAATTTACTCCTATTCGGCACTATGTTTTTAATTTGCGAATTAAGATCGATTAAAATCGAATTTTCTAATGTAGGTCCGGTACATACTAACAATTTTGCTAAGTATAATTTAACAATTTAATCAAATTTAATTTATATATTTTATTTAATAATTTTAAAATATAGTTTTAACAATATAATTCTGATTTTGTCAATTTTAATTTATATAACTTATAACTAATTAACTAATTTATTTAACTAATTTTCTGTTGCTTACAATAAAATAATTCAATAAGTAGTTTAATAAAACAATTCTATAAACATATAATCCGTAATATTTACCTTAAGTATAATTTAATAATTTAATCATTTTTAATTTAATAGTTATTCTTTTTATAATCAATAATAAAATCCTAAAAATAATTTTATAATCAATAATAAATAATAAATTTGGAAGCGAATTTATAATCAATAATAAATTTGGAAATTATAAAATTATTATTTCACTGTAACGATAAAATTACGAAAATTGCATGTCTAACCCATGCATTATAAAATCATTACTTTTCCTTTTGCAATGCAATCCTCATATGGTTAGTGTCTAACCTGTGTACCATAATATGGTATTATCTGTAAAAATGATTTTATAATCAATAATAAATTTGAAAATGATTTTATAATCAATAATAAAATCATTAACTACAATGCAATCTATCCTGATATGGTGGTGAGCTGTCGTAGGCTCCCAAATTAAAACCTTACAAACGTAGTAGCGGGAGTAAGGATCGATCCCACGAGGAGTAACTAGTTTAACTTTTATGCTCAAATTAAAGATAGAGGGGTTTAGAATATGATGAGAATAAAGATTAAATAAAGAGAATTTAAATAGACAAGAAATTCAAATGAACGAATAAAGCAATTATATATCGGAAACACTTATAAATAGAAAACCTTGGTTAGTAAAGATCCACCACCGAAATTTAACACTGATCATTGATTAGTAAAGTAATTAATATGCAATTGAATATTTATCGTGAAATTATTTCATTTCCGTTTTCCCTTAGTTGTAGGTAACTAAAGCACACGCGGTTTAATTACCCCTAACTACTAAATAACCTAAGACAAGCGCTATAGATTTAATTTAATAGCAGCAATAGGAACTAGGAAAACCGACAAACTAAATAACACAAGCACAAGCGGTTGCATTTAACTTAGGAAAATATTCTACCCGAGTCCAATTATCACTAAGCCGTCAATAATTAATCCAGTTGCTACTGAATATTAGAATAATTTGTAGCACAACATTATCTAATATAGCAAATAATTATATCAAGTAAATAACTAGTAGGCCTCCCTAACAATTAAATGATACAACTATTCAAATAACTTAGAAGAATATTTAATACCCAAATGCATAAAAATTATATAATAAAAATAAATAAATAATCTTACAGCATAATCAATTCCGGGGCTTCAATTCACTAAACCAAGCTAAAGAAATTAGCAATGAATGGACATTGATAACAGCTTTACAGAATAATGGAGAGGAGAAGAATGAACATTTTACAATAGGAAACTTCTACTATTTATAGTATTCTTAAAATAGGCCAAATGAACCTCTACCATCCATTTTCCTACTCTTCAGCCTCACGTCCGAAGTCATCCGCTTTGTCTGCTGCCTTAATCGCATGATGGAATTGAAACACTCAATTTGCTTTTGCTGGACCAAACTAATCTAACATTATAATATATATACATATATATATATATATATATATATATATATAT